TCTGCCCATAGCTAAGTTGTTCATTAACTGCAAGTGGCATTACCTCTCTCCTCTAGGTTCAAAGAAAGGGGGAGGGGCGCATGCTGGCAGATATTCGCATTTAAGCAAAGAACTCAGGAGTACTCTAACATAGGCTTACATTGATAACTTGCTTTTCGGCGTAGGTCTGACCAAGTAAGTCAGTTCTAAATAGAAATCAGATAAATATGAGCAGCAACTGAAGGCCAAAAGGCTGGGCAACGTAATGACAACATCAGCCACACCGATTATTGGAGATGAGGTACGTAGAATCTCAGAACTTTAGGAGTGGCGCTAAAGTCTGAATTGGATTCGAATGGTCACTTGTCATTCACATGGCGACTGGTTCAGCACTCTGCTATAGCTGAATCTCATTAGTCCCTCTATGAACTACCGATCTCTCAATTGCTTAGCTGCGGTGCTATCAGTAAACAAGTTGAGCTAACTAAAAATTAGCGCCTATCCAACTTTTTCTTGCTCCCAAGTCCGATGGGTCAACACGTTTGACTCCTTGCCTCAAGAAACTTTGTTTATAGGGATAGAACACTTAAGTTAGAAGGCTATTGACCTGGGATCAGACTTCTTCGTGGACATATTCCAGATTTATATTCAAGAGACAGCTAATCCAATACAATGCCGGCCCGTTTTAGGGTAAATTGTGCCCCTCATGTGGTGTTCACAAAGTTAATAAAACCATTTCTGACTTAGCTTAAGGAATAAGAAATGTTTTGTCAGTATTCCTTCTGTTCGGTTATACTGATAGAGACTGCCTGACTAATATCCGGAAAACAGTTAACACCCCCTTTTTCAAATCAGTTATAAAAAAGCTGCTTCTAGTTCCAGTCAAAATTTAGCACCTTTAGGTGCTGTATTAAATTGTGACAAAAACAATCTTGAGCGGACGAGGCAGATATTACTAAAACTCGTAAGGGCAATAAATAATCAAGGGAATTTTAACGCTACTATGCCACTAATATAAGATAATGTCTACCTGGGCTGGTGCTCAAAGAACTGGCAGATGCGGTCAGAGGTATTGAATTATCAAATTTTTTGCTGTATAGTTTCTCGGGCTGGGGCATTCGTTGGTCACCCAATTGTTGTAACAACTTGCATTTGAAGGAAAATGAGTGCTTATAGGCGGCCAGAGAGGAGGAAGGTAGGGGGCGCGGTGCGCTTTTCCTCGTAGTATCTACTTCAACGAGACCTTCACATAATTAGGATAACATCACTTACAGGTAAATAAGTACAGGTAAGAGATTTGTATAGACCCCACCCTCGTCTCCAATCTCTCATTCATTTTAACAAACACAATTTGATTTATCATTTTTATTCAATATTGTCTAGTATAGACCACGATAATTATTGTTTTGCCATATTATTTTAATCAAGAAACGTTTTACTTCTTAGTGTCTCTCAATTTTACACTGTTCTGGCATGAAAATATATTGATGTAAACAGTTTGAGCAAATTGTCTGGCATCGGATAAAGGTTAGTGAGATCATGACAGTTATGCATTTACAAAAGAGAGATATTGCGGACTAGTATTAGTCTCAGTAGTCTGTTTGTTAATTTGAAACGCGTCATACAGGCCTGCAATTGTTTTTAATTGATTTTTTTTCGCCAGTTACTTTCTAAAGCAATTGATCACGTACTACCGTTAAAGCATCGAGGAAAAAATCACGATTTCAGACAAAACATCAGTATTAAATGACGAGGAAGTTAACGACCAGAAAAGGTGTGATTAACGGACGATTAATCAGCAAAACCATAATAAAATTGTATTTGTACGTAACAAGATAGCCTTCGGAAAACAGAAGAAATCAAAGCCATCGGATACGTGCACTCTTTGTGCAAGACACTATACTCTACGAGTTTATGAGTCGAGAGAATGTAGAAGTAATCTGAATTATAACATGTGAAGGACAATATGTGTGGACAATTTGGATATTGCGTTTCGAAGGAAAAATAGTATGAAAACATGGTGTCAAGTAGGTTATCCTGCACTTCCTACGCAATGCAACGAATCGAATCATAAGGGATTATATTCGGCACAAGCTAGTCCCTCTTAGAAAACATTCGCTATGAGTATTTTTAACAAAGGAAATAAATGGATCATACAATCAGTCCAACAATCCAAAGCAAAGAGGCGCGCGCTCGTTGAGCTGTCCGGTATGCGTATATCAAAGATATATCTCTATCATTCAATGTAGCGGGAAATCTTCGATGTACGAAATATAATAATAATATTGATAATAAAGTCTTTTATTTCAGTTAAAGAACAAATAAATAGAAAATCAAGTAGACTGGTGGCGTAGTCTAGCCGCAACTAAACAAAAATAATATATTTCCCTGGGAGCTGGTACAAGGTTACACGATCAATAAGCTGAATTCTAGATAGAAGATACATAAATATTACACAAAAAGTAAGCGAGTAATGGAATATACATAAATATACCAGTGACATTATAAGTGTTACACCCAGAAAAAATAATTTCTACAACTTGTTTTTGGCAACATAATGACTAGCTAGATTTAAAGCATGCTATGGCAACAATGTCAACGTTTATCTTTATTTTATTTAACTTTGTTAAAATGGTATCTTTTAGTTTTGTGAAGGAAGCAGTTCCTGGGAGCTGAGTAGTACCTACAGATATTTTTAGTTCTTGCCCTTCCATTTACTAGTGTAAGAGCCAATTTCACCAACAACTGTCCGTTATTCTCAACCTATAGGGTAACCGACCGTCAGATACAGCGAATGAGCTTCAAGTTCCAATCAACAAATTTTAGCAACCAATAGCTATGAAATGTTGAAAACAAAATACTGTCAAAGTATGAGATGACAACTTGTCATCGAAACATCACCAGCTTATTGAATATTAAGAAATTACATATAATTCAGTCAAAATTTTAAGAAATGTTTAATTTTTGAATTAAATTCCTGTTTTAATTACTATTGTTGATTTTTTATTCATGTTTATACTATTTTCTTCAATTGATATGTGATACTGTCTGTGTTTTCCTATAAACCTCTTGCAGATAGCCATTAAGCACCTACTTGATGACAGGCTCTACCAAAAGATATTGCTCGTTTCCAAACATTCATTCATTTACTTGCCGTTCATCAGAACCATTATGGCACCTTAGATTGATATTCTCACAAAAACCATTCAGGTTTTTTGATATCCATACATCCATAACGTTGAATATTTTTCGTTGTTCAGGAACTGAACAAACATCCACACTATATTCACAGCGATTAAGAAATTCCCAAATATATGCCTTAAAGCTACCAGCAAACCAAAAACCTGCAAAAAAAACTACAAATTTGCATATTTTTCCTTTTTCACGAGTACACATTCTAGGTTATATTTATATTAGACATTATTTGAATATAGCTGATTATTGCATTTCAAGGAGTGACACATGTGTGGGTCTGTCAACTCCTGGTACCAGTCGCAAAACATAATATACTCTGAAGGTTTAATTCCATGCTATGAAATGACAACACGGTGACTTGTGTGGTTATCAGCGGCCATTTTGTGAGGGTGCGACAGGGTTTCCAGATTGTGCAATAATATCCCGTTTCACCCTCCTGGTCCAGTGGAGTAAGTTCCGCCAACTGTTGAAA